GTATGCATTCATGTCATGAGTGAAGCCTGTGAATAACCTGAATGCTATTCAACCGCATTGTCTCACACTCCTGAATACAAATCTGTCTAGACTAAATTTCACAAGTGCTGGTCCCTCGTATAGCCTTTTCCAGTCCCTCCATGGGATCAACTGGCCAATGGGCGCACACCACAAGTATCACCAAAGCCACATGCTCAGCCTTTTAGACGATTTCACTCAGGAGGGTAATCGTGCTATTCTACTGAAAGTATTTTGGAAGTTATATTTCTGTGCCCGGGACTCGTGAAGAGAAGGCTCCATACGAGTGCCAATGCCTTACCGTGCACCTCCGATTTGCACGATTGGCTATGTACGGTGCGAAAACATTTTTACATATATGTAGTGGGTTCAAAACGAGAGGAAACTTATCTGCGGCAACAGGTTTATTTTAACAATTAACAGTTAACACAGAGGGGTACAGCCCCTCATCCCCGATACACTATGGAGAGTGTACCCTCCAGACTAATACGCCTCTGGCTAATCTATACGTTCTCCTTGAGTGAAGCTTGGATCTTCACAGGTATATAAGCTGAGCTGTCCCTTGCCAGGGGTACGGCACTGCCTTTGGGCTCTTCAATCTTCAGGAGCTTCTTGTCTTCAGCTGGACGACGACTGACTCGGACCGTTCAGTGTCCGGCTTTTATCCTCGGCCAGTGGCTCGCTTTGCCCTAGCCACGCCTTCCTTCCGAACCTTCGAAAAGGATCTGAGGCGTGATGTCATCCCCCAGCCCCCCTCCTGGGGTCTGGGGTCTGTCCCTTAACATAACGATCCATAGGGTAACCGTTGGGTCCTATGGCCCATAGTATCTCATACTGGGGCTCAGCCCTTCGATTGCCCCGCATCGGCGTGTAGCCGTTACTGCCGGCAACTGCATGGGAATGGCGCATCTTTGCCAAATAACAGTTACATATATACTACACGATACAACACACTCCATCAATATACACAACACGATACAATACTCCGAATATAAAATTTGGCTGCGAACGGTGCGAAAGAAGTTCCACACATATACTACCCTTATATACTATACTCTATTATACACTACACCGATTAGAAGGATTGGCTGCGTACGTTGTGAAAAAAATTCACCATATGTACGTGCTCCAGTTCACTGGCTAGGTGGTGATGGTCAGAAATACAATGAGCTCTATGGTGTAGAGTTTGATGAGGGAATTCTTCTGGGATGGATGGTGGTGGGAGTCAGGTTTTAGGTAGGCATCTGTATGGGTGGCTTTCCTGTAGACTGAATGTCCCATTGAGCCATCTGGTCTCTTTTCGATTAACAGATCCAAGAATGGTAACTTGCCATCCTGTTCCCCCTCCATGGTGAATTTGATGGCTGGGTGTATGGAATTGATGTGGTGGAAAAATTGGCCCAGCGCTGGTAGGCCATGTGGCCAGATGACGAGCATGTCATCTACGTATCTCTTCCACAAGGAAGGACGTAGGGTGGATGCCTGGATGGCATCTGTCTCAAATGTTTCCATGAAAACATTGGCTACAACTAGAGATAAGGGAGAACCCATTGGGGTACCTTCAGCTTGTTTGTAGAATGTTCCATTCTGGATGAAGTGTTGGTGAGGCAGTGTCTATCCAGGGCCAGTACAACAGCATTCAGTCCTTGTTGAACCAAATCTTCAATGATTGCAATTGTGTCAGGTACAGGAACTTTGGTAAGCAAATAAACTACATCGAAACTGACAAGCAAATGACCTGGAGACTGAGAAGTCCTTAATTAGTGATACCAGGTGAGCTAAGTACAGCTGAGGAAGTTTTACCAGCAGCTCTCTCGCTATATTTTTTCACTTGATGAAGATTGCTTGTGTTGCGATCGAAACGTCGTGATGATTTTATTGTTCTATCTACGTGGCTTTACCGAAAGAATATCATTCCTGCAGTCACGAAAGCTTTAAGTTAAGATTTATACTAGGTTTAATACTTGTTACAATTGAATTTTCATGATGCAAAAACATGTTTAATGTTGGGCGTACCTACTGCCCTTTTGTTTTTAATCCCTTTTGAGTCTGATTTAATTGGTCTTAGCCTGACATTACTTTTTGAATTTTACGTGGCAGGTTTCTGTGCAAGCCTACTGTACATCCCACCTGCTGACTGTACACACATAAACAGTACACGTAGTGTAGTGTTTTTGATTAATAGTGCAGTGTATTGTGCCTGCATAGATTAAGCTCCAGATTGAGGTGAAGTCATCAGACAGACGAAGGCAAACTATACGAGAAACAAATGCAATAACAGCGGTAAGTGTTGCAGGCCAGAATCTTAGTAAGCGGCCGACTTTAGTTCATTTGGGTCAGGTTGAGAAGAAATTTATGATGGGGGATATGGAAGCGGTGTAGTTGAGCAAGGTACAAAACATGAGGATGAAATAGGATTTGTTCAGGAAGTATTTTTTCAGGTCATGAATTGTAAAACTTATCTCCCTTTGAAGAAGTTCAAGGTTCAATCCGGCAGGCAGCTCTGGTTATTACTGCGGCTACATTAGCCTAAATAGAATATGCACCATCTGCTTCACAGTGGATGTTAAAATTCATCCGATGTCATTAAAACATTGCGTGCTGGTGCAATTGTTAACATTTACCAAATTTCAAAAAAGTATCCAAAAGCTACCCACCTGAGATTACGCACCAATCATCGACCCCTACCTGGTCGACGAATGTCCACTTATAGTCTGTTGCGGAGTCAACTTGCGCAGCACAAGGACAGTTAAACCATGGAGGTGGCCATCGACTGTTTGACATGAGATATGATACAAGCCACTTTGTTGCTTAGGCAAATAAGCAAGCGCCATATAAATACTAATATTAATATCCTGCTCTGGAGTGTCCGTGTCTCATGCTCTTGGTTACAGATCTACCCAACACTTATGGTCACACATGCTATCTGCTTCTACTCTACATTGTCCAAAAAGTCCTCCTAAACCTCCACATCCACAAATAGCTGGGATTTGTCTCGGGCTCCAGTAACGACCTGGAACTCAAACCCTAGAGCCTTCACAGGTCACCTTCACGAATGGTAACGATTCCCAGCTGCCATCTTCTTATGGTCCTTGCATCACAAAAGATGGGCTTATGGAACTTCGAATTTCACACGTCAATCTCAGATTCTGCTCCCTGTAGACCTCCTTACGCGTGTTTCAGTTTCAAAACAATTCAAAAGGCCTTCCAAGTGTACTTGAAGTGTTTTTTAATGTGTTCCCAGGCAGTTAAGATTTGATTACCTTGTAAATGCATTCCAAGACAATTCAGTCATTAGATTCCGTGGAAGTGAGTTCTGCTCTTGGTGACGTCACAAGCCAGAGAGAGGGGGAGGCCCTGACGTAACCCACTCGTTAATTTGAGGTGATGTCTTCAGAGGGAGCTTCTACATATTTAAGTAAACATGTGGTAAACAAGGTGGGATTCCAATGGATATATTAATACAACTTTTATTTTAACAGATTATAATTCAATAAAACCGAGGCTAGAATACAAATCTGTAACAAAAATCCGTGGTGCATTCAAATGTGCTCTTAATATTACCTCCTTGCTAAGAAACAGATCAGCAGACATCTTTCATTCATCGGTCTCTAACGAAACAAAGGAATATTTTACACAATATAAATACCACGGCCTTCTGGGAGTGTATAATGTCTGCTGCACTGATTCAGTGCAAGCCATCTGTGGACTGGTTTTGGTGTAGTCTCAACAGTATTCGGGCTTGCTTCAACCAATATTAATCAGCAAGGTGCATTTCAAGTCTCAGTTCGACAAAATCTATAAAAACGTAATACAAAATTAGAATTAGTGTTGTTGTGGAGAATGTATCTCCTATACGTAACTTTAAATTTGTATGCCTTGTAACTGATGAATGATCCGACTATGTTCCCTATTTTAAAGACTGAGTGGCTCAGGGGCAAATTCTTCCTGAATCACAAAAAAACAGCTCTCATGCGAATTATCTGCACAGGTTACTACCAAAACAGATACTTTGTCCTGACATAATGTATTCCATGTTTGACATTAATACAATGTTGCATGTACGTACTAAATCAGACAAGTATTAATTAGATTATGATTCTACATTACTGATAGGTACATTGACAACATTTCATTACGACACTGAAATGTACTGCATCACCTTGCATCTTATTTACAAGTTGATCTCTGGCTAGATGAGTCCTATCTGCAGCATTCCTACATTGAGGGAAGCCAAGGGGTTGTACATTCTCTATTTTTGTTGCAGAGGTTCAAGGTCCAAATTCGACTGGTATATCAATCATTACCCCCTACTTACAAACTACATGTCCACATGCAGGCCAGTGCAGGGTCACCTTGTGGCACACAGTGGCAGATGCCACTTGGGGGTGCCCTTCGAGTGTGTAAGATGAGATATGATACAAAACACTGAGTCGCTCCTGGTTAGAGATATACCCAACCCACAAGTCCACAAATACTGGCTGCTCTTACTCTGTAAGTTGAACCTAAGAATTGAGTGTTCAGCCTCACATTATTTTTCATTAAAGGCCTGTGACAAAGGTGAATATATTGGAGCTTCATTGTCTCAAGCTTGCATATCTACCTGGTCTACATTTGACTTTGTATTGTCTAAGAAGTCCACCCACACCTCCACTTCCACAAACTGCTGGGAGTTGCCTCGCTCTGCCTCACAGTCAGAATTCTGTTCCTGCTTCACGCTGCCTCCATCGATGTGAAGGCCCGATTTTGGAGTTGAATCATCTTCAAATTTAACCTTCACTGTCACTTCTTCACATTTCACCTTTGCCTCTTCATAGTTCACCTTGATACCTTTCAAAGTGTTAAAGTGGTGATTTTCTTCTGGTTCTTGTTTCATGAGGGATGGGCTCATTGCAGCACTTTTACAAGCTGATTTCAGACTCCACTTCTTGTAGATTTTCTGTTGCGTGTGTGTTCTCTGGTGTGTTTTAAGATTTGATGACTGTCCAAATGCCTTCTGGCACAGAGTGCACTTGAAGGGTTTCTCTCCTGTGTGTGTTCTCTGGTGTATTACAAGTGCAGATGACTGTGAAAACGCCTTCCCGCACAGAGTGCACTTGAAGGGTTTCTCTCCTGTGTGTGTTCTCTGGTGGGTCTGAAGAATTGATGACTGTGCAAATGTCTTCCGGCACAGATTGCACTTGAAGGGTTTCTCTCCTGTGTGTGTTCTCTGGTGTATTACAAAAGCAGATGACTGTGAAAACGCGCTCCCGCACAGAGTGCACTTGAAGGGTTTCTCTCCTGTGTGTGTTCTCTGGTGGGTCTGAAGAATTGATGACTGTGCAAACGCCTTCCCGCACAGAGTGCACTTGAAGGGTTTCTCTCCTGTGTGTGTTCTCTGGTGGGTCTGAAGAAGTGATGACCGTACAAATGCCTTCTCACACACAGTGCACTGGAAGGGTTTCTCTCCTGTGTGTGTTCTCTGGTGCTGCTTCAAGTTTCCAGTGTGATCCGTGCTGTAAGGACACTGGTCGCACTGGTGTTTTTTTGTACCGAGCTGTGCTGAGTGTCTTTCCTCCATCAGACCAATTCTGCAGAGTAAAGTGGCAGAGGAAGAGTTAACTCCATAGATAATTTCAATATACACACCATCTAAGTCAGCATCATGGCACACAGGCATGCATATATACACAGTCACACATTATTTGCACATCTACACATTTTCACCACGCTGGCTGTTCAGGCACACAGTGGGAGTGGCAAGTTTCAAGAAATATGCCTGGACGGCATAGTAACATAGGTGTGAAGCCAGGCTTCTAATTGCTTGAATGCTCAGAGGAACAGATGTAACTTCAGCTCAATGTGCCATGTTCTTATCCTGACTATTTCCATGCTGATAAAAAAAAAGTTCCAGGGAGACAAAAATCCCTATGGTTTTGATTAAAGCACCATGTTAGAATCAAAATACTTCACAGCAATTAAAACAAACGTAACAATCTCACACACTGGCATGGTGAACAATGTGGTGGTGTGGGCAGAACCGTGCCAGGCCACCTTCATCTGATCACTACTGATGCTTCCTCACTTCACCAATTAGTTGAGGATTAATTAACTCAGGGGAGGCTCACAATACGTTTAGTTGTCATGTTTGCTGTTGGCAATGAAACTCTAATTGGTCTTTTCATAATGCAATCACCGCTCCCTATACACACTCTTACATATACATTTCAAATGGATCAGTAACAGATAATATAAATACAAGTCATTCAACTAATTGGTGGTGACATGGTCACAATGCTTATGCAAGGCTAGGTGCAAATTGAGGCCATGTAATTGTGGAACACTAGTCATCAGGTCATTGGACAGACCGAGCGGGTTTCAGTTGCGCCACTAATTGATGTGTACGTCGCTCCTCCACCCTCATTGTTGGGGCAGGGTGAATATCTACAACTCTCCTGTAGTATCCTTCATTAGGCTCCACCAGAGGCCAATCTTGACACTTCTGATACCAGTCATCAGCAAGTAGACTGCTACAAAGTCTCCTGTACTGCATTAGCCCAGATATTCTCTAGAAAATGCTGCACTAATTTAGCTCCTGCTTATCTTGATGAAAATATTCTGCTTGAGCATGCGGTATCTTGACATGCAGGCTACATGACCCAGTGAACAGTCCAGGCATTTTCCAAACGGTATTATGCAGTCGACTTAAAGATAATGTTGCTCGACTAATTTGAAGTGAGTCTTTCGCAACGACGTGAGATCTGGTCATGAGTACAGTAGCTTAGAATGGGAGCTCCTGCAATAGCTGCAGAACTGCTGGATTACTCATGGAGAGTTGAGGTGGAGTGTTGGATAACGTTAAATACCAAGACAGATGCTTTTTTTTTGTGGAACATATGCAAGGCCCCACCTCTTAATAGCACACGCCAGTGAGTGGCCATTACCAGGTCATGAGCATACATAACATGGTAAACCAGTAGGGAACAATCCCTTGACTACAACCAGGCATCCATCAGCCTCTCAATGTAACTGCACCTAATGCAAATTCTTCTCATAGTGCCATTGAACGCATCTCAGACAACATACACAAATAATGTAATGTAGGGGTTAGAGAGCATACCTGTCACACCCGAAGTTGAACAGGAAATTATCCAGACTCCTGATCATGAAGCAGTACCCAGTCCTGCCCACCATCATGACAATCATTAATTAAAGTGAGTACAGCGGAATGGCCCCTGAAAACATAAACAACCCAAAGCCCCGGCCTTGTGATGGTCCTGTATGCCTTGATTAGGTCTAGAAAACAGGAATCTAGTGTCTACTGAAAATTCGTATATCTGTGCTCTCGCACATGGACAGAAAGTATGGCATTTGTGTAGGACTGCTCTGGCCTGAAACCACAATGTGGCTCTGCAAGCTTCTTGTCAGCAGGTATGGCAAGCGAATTCCTACTATGAGCCAAGAATGTCTGTTTGTGTGTAACGTGCATGAAGTCACTCCACACCCCGCAACGCCCCCTGCCCCGTCATTAATATTCATGAGCGGGTGGATTTTTACACACGGAGGTCGAGCGGAAATAAAATGTTTTCGCAAATTCGCTTTAAGTTTGACGTTTCTTTATTGAAAGTGAATCTAATAAATAATTATACGCATCAACAGTGGATTTGGTGTCTTTATTTCTTCACCACTGGAGACAAACGGTAAGTAATTTATACTTCTAAATTATGGTAAAATAGACATTTCTGGGTGATTTTCCAGATATTGTATCGAATTCCAAATTATTTCAACCCCAGCGACTGAAAGCAGAAGAGAAAAAAAGTATCAGAGCAATGAATTTGTACAAATTCAAGGTCAGTTATATACAGTGCTACAGTGACATGAAGTGCGGTGTTTTATGACGTAGTTTTGTGCAAGAATCGCTGCCATTGATAGTGCTACACTGAAATGCAGTGAAGTGTTTGATGACATACTTTCGTGCAAGAGTCTGTCATTAAATTTACACATGATACAATTATACTCTGCTCAATTTTTTCGTAAATATTACAGATATCCCATTATTTGATCTACCCAGTGTTAATAATATTCTGTATTGCAGCCTGCGAAAACTGCTGCCCTCCTAGAGGAGTTTATATTTTAAGTCATTTATGCCAGGCGCTATAATTGCTCACAGGCTCTGGATGGCTCCTCCATCCAGATATCTGGGACTACACAGCCTCATCCTGCCCCATGATGCTGCCTGGGCTGAGGGGTTTTCCCAACTATAGCTCACAATTACTCTGTAAATCTACAAATGTTTTTTGGGCCAGAAAATCTGATGACCATTCATTTCCTTAATGATGCTAATCGATTTGGGCCTGCAAGTTAAGTTTTTGATTAAATTAAGTGATAATTTGTGATTGCGAGCTGCTGAAGCAGCGTCCATCTCCGTAACAACCCACAACCACCCCTCATCCTTGCAGTGCCGCATGGCTCTTGGCTGCTGTAAGCCTCCTCATTCTGACATGGATTGTTTGACGACGTGAACCACCTCAGCTCGCCAATAAACCTCGTCCATCATGAACCTAATTACCAAAACAATCAAAGGAATTTCAAAGTAAGCATGTGCCATCGGCCCCAAGGGGATATGTCTGTGATCTCTTGGTTTCGAGAAATGAGGCAATGTTGAATTTTGATTTAAAGCTTTCGTGACTGCAGGGATTCATATTCTTGGTTCTTTCGGTAAAGTCACGTAGAAGGGAACAATAAAATAAAAATATAAAACAATAAAATTATCACGACGTTTCGACTGCAACACAAGCAATCATCATCAGGTGTGAAAACCACAGCAAGAAAATTTGAAAAAAGTGGCGGTTTTTTAACGTAAATGATGATTGCTTGTGTTGCAGTCGAAACGTCGTGAGAATTTTATTGTTTTATATTTTTATTATTTTATTGTTTCCCTTATACGTGACTTTACCGAAAGAACCAAGAATATGAGACAATGTTGCTCGCCACATAGAATTGCATAAAGTCATAGGGGAGAAGAGGCTGCCAAACCTATGTTTGGAGTTGGACTAATAACGCCTGAATCTCTGTGCAATACAGGAGGTCTGATGGCCTGAATCTGGCTCCAGTCACCACGAAGTTTGGACAAAATAGACGTGTACATGACACGTTTTTAAACGTGTGGTAAAATGGAAGTGATAAATAGTGCTTGGGTTCGATTCTTGACTGGGGTTATTTGCTGTATGAGGTTTTTAATTTCTCCCCTTCTTCTGCATTGGTGTTCCACTGGGTTTTCCGTTTTCTACAAAACCTAAACTCAAAATATATTTGGTGTTAGTCAAACAGTCTAATGCAGGACCCTCCTGAAACATAATCTTTAACTGCTAAATAAGAAATTAAATTGGAAAACCCTAAAACACAGAACACAAACTATTATTATTTTACCAGGTGAAGCCCACTGAGCTGCATAGCTCTTTTTCAGAATCGACCTGGACACAAATGAGAGCTCAACTTAGTGATTTATAAATGGAAATGTATTGCAACCAAATTCTCAAAATGCATGTTTCTAAATGTGGAGAAAAATAAATGCCACTACGGGAAGAGAGAGAAAATAAAAAATGTAAACTCCAATTATAAATGCGTCAGGGTTGGAATCGAACCCACAACATCCTTCATACCATGTGAGGGAGTTAACATCTCGCCACCACAGCACAATATATCACACAAATTACAATGATCACACTCACTCCCTCTCTCTGTACACACTCTACACGCATGACTCACTCTCAAGCACTCGCGCACCTCTCGCTGCTGTCCCCAACTCCTCCGGTCTGCTCTTGGTGACGTAACCCGCCAGACAGTGGGGGAGGCGCCGACTTTGAGGGTGACATCACCGCGAGACACGACCGCTCCCCACATTACACACACGGGGTAATCTCACACACAGAGTACTCTAACACACAGAGTACACTCGCACACAGAGTAAACTCACACACAGAGTACTCTAACACAAAGTAGTACACTCACACGGAGTACACACACACAGAGTAAACTCACACACGGGGTACTCACACAAACACAGAGTAGAGTACACACACAGAGTACACTCACACACAGAGTACTCTAACACAAAGTAGTACACTCACACGGAGTACACACACACAGAGTACACACACACAGAGTAAACTCACACACGGGGTACTCACACAAACACAGAGTAGAGTACACTCACACAGAGTACTCTCTAACACACGGAGTACACTCGCACAAAGGAGTACACTCACTCACTCGGAGTATTTTTTCTCCGGGTCCTTCGATTTTCCCCTCCACATTTAGAAACACGCATTTAGATTATTTGGCTGCTAT